TCTATCCATCCACCCACCCACCCACCCATCTATCCGTCCACCCATCCATCCATCCATCCATCAATCTTTAAGGTCTAAAACATTCAAACTTCAAGGCTTTTAAACAATGAGTTTGTCTATTTATCATTCATTCTATCGTTCAATCATTCTTTATCACTGCTCAAATGTAACATTGCTTCTCTAAAATTTACATTTAAAATTACAGTTATATCACTGTTTGCATTCATATGTAAAAGTAAAATATTAACATTCTGTGCAATACCTCCTGAGTTCCACAGGAGAAAGAAAATCATACAGGTCTGGAATAATATAAGAGTGAGTACTTTTTCACTGGACCTATGCCTGAAATTTGAGTCGTGAGACGTTTATATAAATTTTTGCTGAGATATACTGAAGTCAGTTGATTCGCACATATTGCATTGAACAGAATGTTCTTTGAGCATAACACCACAATTCTGCAAGTTCACATAAAAAAACAAAAAACAAAAGCCTCCCTTGCCATTTTATTTCAGCAGATGCTGCATCACACAGTGACAATGATGAAAGGTAGATAAAAGGCAGAGATTCCAAAGCAGAGTTGATTTGTGATGAGTAGGATGAGTGGGCCTGCTTTTGATGGGGCGGACTGGCCGACCAAATTCCTTACCGGTGAAACACATCCCTTATTAAAGCAGTCTGAGACTGCGGAGGCCAGACACATCTGCTCCAGCAGACCTACAGCCCTGGGAGGGGAGGAGAGTTAGAGGGAGGGAGAGAGGCTGGAAAATGTGAGCAGTAGAAAACAAAATGCTTTGGGGGTGTTTTTTTTCTTCTTTTTTTCGAGAGGGGGGAATGGCGATGAGAGGAGATAGGATCGCAGAGGTCGAAGTGGAAGGTATTACAAGTCTCTGAGTCTTATCTGGGGCCTGTTTGCTGGGTAAAAGCTTTCAGGTGTAGCACCCTTTCAACATAGATCCGACTGTGCCTGGCAGGGGGATTGGCAGCACTTTAGAGTGAGGCCCGGATTTCTGAAGAGCACAGGTCTGTTGGATCTGCTGTCCTTTTGGAGTGAAAAAAAAAAGGTTTTAAGATACATGTATCAGATGGTAATACCACTTTGAGAATAGTAATTAGCTAGAAACTCCTACATCATATTGTTTTTGTGTGCAAAGTGTGTGCACACAGCTGCACAGCAGAGGCAATAATCACTTTAATAATAAAAATAAAAAAAAGTGTTCTAGTCCAGTGATTTTAATAAACAATTGTTTTTTATTACCTGGATGATTTAGATATGAATCTATACAGACACTTTAATAAATTATATTAAATAAATGCTTTCCATTTAAATTCTCATGTAGTCTCATTAAAAAGTCTGATTTATTTGATGGAATCAGTTTGATCAGATGGTTCAAATGTGAGTGTAGCAGTTAAAAATGATTTGCTGATGTTTTTGAGTCTCTATGCCTTTTTTTGTAGAAAAATGTTTAGCTGTTTTAGTTGTTGTTTATTGCCCTCTTTAGCCACTTTTAGCTGCTCTTTGTAAGCAGCTTGTAGCTAACCTCTTTTAATGGCAGCTTGACTGTAGTTTAATATTAGATCACACTGAAAAAAAAAATAGTGTAGAAACAATTTTCAGTGAAACATTGCTAGTAAATTTCACAGAAAATACAAAAAGTGACAAACTGAATTAAACATGAAAATTTGAAGTAGAAAAACAACTAGTATTTTCTGTCAAACATGGAATCAACAATCTTGAAATATATATATTTTTAATAGTGTAGTAACCTGTAGTTATGGAAGCAATTACAAAATAATTTCTTCAACACTGATACCATAGTACTTTTTATGAATAAGATGGTACTGGATGATTGTTATATTCATATGCCATGGTATTTACTTATAAAGGTAATATAAAGGCATTTCTGAGTTACATTTGAGTACTGTGGTACTATGGTAAAAGAAAAAAAAGTTAATACCATGGCACGTTTTTTAAGTGAAATGGAATGTATTATGAGATAAAGGCTGCAAGATGGATAGCACAATCTCTGCCATTGAATTCCTTTTCAGTGACCACATGACCATATAATGGCCTCAGCTAAAACGATTGCAGAAAATGATTGCATCAGGATCTGTGTTTACACTGACTGAAGAATGCCATATCCAGATCAAATGTTGTTTGTGCTGTAACTGTTGAGTATGTGCAGATAATCTGTGTGTCATTAATGTATCAGGCTAAGCTCTGTGTGTAGTTAATGTGCAGCGCTGCGTAGTCTCCTTCTGTGTTCTTAAATATGTAACCTGGCATTTCCTCCCGTAGCCGAGAGCTCCTCTGCTTTTTTGTGTTTTCCCCTTCTTTCTTGTGTCCCACAGTACTTTCATTTGGGACTGCATTTTGCATTCACACATGCACACTTTTTTTCTTCTTCTAGCTAATAATTGTGTTAGATAGTGAAGAGCTCAGGTCTATTTTATTCAACATCACTGATATGCCTACAGTACATGAAGAGAAGCTCGGTTACATGAAGAGAAGCTCGGTTGGACCCCAAATTTCCTCTGAAACCAACTCTTCTTTTCTGATTTCCTCTTATTTTTTCTCGTCTTGTCTTAAAGGAACACTCCACTATTTTTGAAAATAGGCTCATTTTCCAACTCCCCTAGAGTTAAACAGTTGAGTTTTACCGTTTTCGAATCCATTCAGCCGATCTCCGGGTCTGGCGGTAGCACTTTTAGCTTAATCAGATTCAATGATCTATGCTAACAGACAGCTAAAAGTGCTACCGCCAGACCCGGAGATCGGCTGAATGGATTCGAAAACGGTAAAACTCAACTGTTTAACTCTAGGGGAGTTGGAAAATGAGCCTATTTTCAAAAATAGCGGAGTGTTCCTTTAACCTTCTTTTTTTTGTCTCATCTCATCTTGTTTCATATCTTCTAAACTCTTCCCTCTTCTTTCCCCTCATCTTGTCTAGTCTTTTCTCCTTCATCTTGTTTAATTTATTCTTGTCTTACTTTCTTTGCCTCATCTCATTTGTTCTCTACTCTTTTTCTCATTGTCTCTTTTCACCTCATTTATTTCACCTCACTTATTCTCATTTTATCGAATCTCTTCAGTTTTCATATCTAACATCACCTCTTCTCACTTCTCAACTCATCTGAATTGCCTTCCTATCTTGTTTCCTCTCCTTGTTTTTCTCATCATCTGTATCCACTTGTCCCTTCTTCTCTTCTTGTCTCATATAATTTTGTTTGATCTATTTTCTGGTCTTATTTTTTCTCATATTGTCTCATATTGCATTACCTCATCTTGTCTTGGTTCTGCTCCTTTCATTTCTCATCTTCTCTCCAAATGTCTCATCTTAACTCATCTAAAGCATTCTCTTCTTGTCTCTTCTCATCTCATCTAATCTCTTCTTTCCTTTCATTTTCTCTCTACATGTCATATTGTCCCATCTCCCTCTTCCCTCATTTCTCAACTTGTCTCATCTAATCTTTTCCCTTCTATTCTCATTTAGTCTTATCTTGCCTTGCTTCCTCTCATCTTGTCTCCTCTCCTTTTCTTCTTCTTTTCTCATCTCATTTATTTTCCTCGTCTCATCTTGTCTCCTCCTTATATAATCTCATAATCTCACTTTATCTCGCTCTTTGCTAATCACCTCTCAATTTATCTCACCTGGTCTCCTCTTGTCCCTTCCCCTTTCTTATATTGTTTCACCTTGCATTGCCTTCTCTTATCTTGTCTCATCTTCTCTCCCTTTTCTTCTCTCTTTTCTCATCTCATTTATTCTCCTTGTCCTCATCTCATGTAGTCTTCTCTCATCTCATTTTGTTTTAGCCCGTCTCTCCTTGTGTGGTTGCAGTTGTCAGTTCTGCATTGGTTTGGTCGTCTTGGCCCTGTGTTTGAGGTTAGAGACAGATGACCGAAATACAAGCATGATGAGAAAGGAGAGGACATCTGACAGCAAAAGTGGATGGCATAGCAAAGACAGCCTATGGGAGGTGGAAAAAAATAGCACACATTTTCATAACTTTCAGCCACAGAAGGATTACAGTGGAGCCCGATGCCTGATGGGAAATTCCAGCAGCATCAGATTTATCCAGACTAGCTTCAAGGAGGGTGGCGGACAGGCCCTGCTTATTCATTCCTAATTCTGTCATTACCATAACTGCTGACAGCTCTGTGTTTTGTTCGTACTGTACACACAAACCACATTTTCCCAGGCTCCATGCTCAGAGTTACGGTATACTGTGTAATATCTTTGGCTGCAACTCCAAGGGCAATAACGTAATGCTTCTCACAGGCCCACTCAGGCTCTTAATGATGGAGAGGGGCTTGTGGCCTGTCAACAAAGTGTGTCAGGCTCTGAATGGATGAGTTTAACTGCTTCTCAAAGTTTTGTGGCTCTGCCAAGCAGTGGACACACTAGAGTGAGTTTTACAGCTCAGCTGACCTGCCACCGAGGGAGCAAGAGACCCCGTGACATGGCGAGACCGGCCTGTGTGCGTATATGCACCAACCACAAAACCCTGGAGAGGGTTCGCTTGTGTTTCGGTGGAGTGGTTGTGAAGCGGAATGCAGGTTCACTTCAGGGATCGTGCACGTCGGTGTGTGTATAAGGGGGCGGTCCAGCTGACCTGGAAAGAGACAGATGGGAAAAAGGCACCACAGAGGCCTTCTGCAAACAACATGTGGAAAGGCTTTGGCCTCTAATGTAGCGTGGAGCGTTTATGTACTGCATGCAGACCGCTCTGCTGTCCATCAGAGAGAAGAAGCTTCGGCGCTCGCAACTACGCCCGCGGTCGAGACGACCTCATCTTCTGCTTCCTGCTTTCTCTTAATCTTACCGACCCCCAGTCGGAGAAAAAGACTCCCTTAGGGCCGTTGCCTCAGTAGCTCCGCGTCAGCTGTTCAGTGTGCGGAAGTGCTTACCCACAATCCTCCCTGAGCAGGTGGCCCTTAACAGGCCGCTTTGTTTTCCTGTGTCTTGCCAAAGGAAGCTGAAGGCAGAGGGAAGGAGAAGCTTGTGAAAATTAATTTCTTTTTTTTCTTCTGGTTTCACATCTTGGCGCTCAGCTCTTGGCTCTTGCTGGCCCAAACGTATATGAAGCATTCACGGGCTCCAAAATAGGATTTCCTGCACTTGTGTATATTTCACATATTTCTCAGGGTCCAAGGAAAAACTAGAAGCTCAATTTGCACTCTGTGGAGAAATACAAAGCGGGTCCATAGGGACGTGGGAATAAACGTTTTGCAAGTGTGGCCAGTTTACTTAATCTTTAATACACTCCACACACTTTTCTCACATTCTCATTGACCCCTTTGTGATCCCACAAGATGTAAGAAGAGTTTTACAACCCCTCATTCGGTCAGTAGGAAAATTTGGTATCTTTCTGTAAACGACTTCCTGAACTCTCTCTGATGTCTATCTCGTATCTCCTCAGCTCAGTGCAGCTGGCTCTATTTTGCTCCCAGAGCTGCTTGTTTCGGTCTCAGAGCCAGTGAGCAATTATGTCCAATTAGCCTTTACAATCCAGTGTTGCTTCTGATGATCTCATGGATAAATGCCATGTGGATAAAGAGAGGAGATTAGGCTGCACATTGAAAGGATAGCTGGACGGAACAGGCTTCAAAGAGATCAGGCTGGTGCTGTCCTCTCAACACCTGGCTAGATAACGGATGAAGGACACCATAAGGAGACACCAAGGACAATGCTGAGAACAACTGGCACAGGACTGCAGCGACTAGCCTTGAACTACTAACCAATGTGCATTTTCCCAGGTTAAATAGAACTTAAGCTGTGTTTATTTCAAATGTGGCATGCTGTCCATTATTGTAGTAAATAATTTTCAACTTGTCCCTCAGTTTGTAAAAACGTAAAAACATACAGCAATGCATTTACAATAGAAGTCTATGGGACAAGTAAGTGTGAATGAATGTATAAAGTAATAGAACAGTCACTTTGTGCCTTATTTACTAATACTTTGGAAAATGTGTTTATATACGCAGAAAAAGTTTATATACTGTAGACTTAGACTAAACATGGTCATTTGTCAGTTCTCCACATGCAGACTGCATTTTGTCATTTTTATTTATACTTAATCAGATATAATTAATACTTTTGTTAATACTTTTAATACCTTTGTACACACTACTGTTCAAAAACTGCACTTAAACACATTGGCTTAAAATTGCACTTAAAACAGTTTCTAAGGCCACCGCGAGTATGTGATTTTTGCATACATACTGTAACCACACTATGTGGGTGGGTAAGTTTCCTTTAAAATATCTAAATCTTTAAAACATCTGATCTCTCTATTTTTCACTTTTTTACATTATTCACTGTAAAACAATTTTAGCAGTATAGATTGTTCATAATCAATTTTGAGAGTTATTTACTAATACTTTGGAAAATGTGTTTATATACGCAGAAAAAGTTTATATACTGTAGACTTAGACTAAACATGGTCATTTGTCAGTTCTCCACATGCAGACTGCATTTTGTCATTTTTATTTATACTTAATCAGATATAATTAATACTTTTGTTAATACTTTTAATACCTTTGTACACACTACTGTTCAAAAACTGCACTTAAACACATTGGCTTAAAATTGCACTTAAAACAGTTTCTAAGGCCACCGCGAGTATGTGATTTTTGCATACATACTGTAACCACACTATGTGGGTGGGTAAGTTTCCTTTAAAATATCTAAATCTTTAAAACATCTGATCTCTCTATTTTTCACTTTTTTTTTTACATTATTTACTGTAATACAATTTTAGCAGTATAGATTGTTCATAATCAATTTTGAGAGACACGGTAATGGTAACATACAAGCAGAAGTTCTTCCTCCTAGAAAAGTAGTCCCACTTCAAAATGACAATTTAGGCAACATTTTAGCTCAAACATAAAGCATTTACACTGAATAATTCATGTAAATATACTTTAACAAAAATACAAACGTCAAAATTTTGCTTTGAAACCCTCCACTGCACTTGCCCCATACACTTACAGTGTGGGTGTATCATACAGAATGAGTCAAAATATTTTTTTACAGCATGAAGCTTGCTCCAGATTATTCCTTTAATTTAAAACTGTACAATACTTCTGAAATAATTTTAGCTATACTCTAATTTTGATTTTGAAGGTAATAGGCTTTTCAAGATAACATTAGGCTATAGGCCTATTAGATTTCTTTATAGGATTTGGAGCTTTAGAATGGTTTCTTGAGGCAATGTACAACAGGAGATCTGATCCGTCTTGCGGTTTTTACCACAGTTTTTACCATATTTGCTTGCAATCGAAGAAGGAGATTTTCACGTCAGCTTCTCAGGCTGCATACATTTCATCACACACACAAAACAAACACCAATGGAACTGCCCTGGAAAGCCACCATCGCAAAGTTTTCTCTCTCAGTGGAAACCAGACCACATCGCTAACCATGACAGAGTTTGAAATGTACAAGGATAATATGCTTTCTTAACACTTAGAAGAGCAAACAAACACTGGTGCGCAAACTAACAGATGAGTAAACACATTTTCCTCGGGAATGCCGCTCAAGAATGCAGCCACAAAGAAAAAGGACGTCTTATTTTCTCTCACACGCTTTCGGTCTTCCCATTAGTCCATGGCTAGAGGTGATCGTTTACCGACTTGTTGCTTTATGCAGCTTTTTTTGTGGTAGTCAAAGACATAATAGCATTAAATTTTCTGTAAAACAAACTTGAACCCTGTTGTGCCTTCTCCATCTGGAAACGGTAGAGGGCTTGTCTGAAAGATAAAAACGATATGAATCGCTTCTGGCAACGCAAACAGACAATCTGGGATCAATTACAGGGACAGCATTCTGAAAGTAAAAAGGGAGGAGGGTAGGAACCAAGAACAGACTTAGTGCTACAGTCTCGTCCAGACACACACACACACACACACA